AAATGTTATTTAAATGAAATTGTATTTTATGTATTTTGTGTCTATTTTTGGCTCACAAGAAATCTATAAGACTCATTGATTTATTGCATGTATCTATAATTTATTCCTTTGAACTAATTTATAGTATGCCATTGTATGAAGACACCAAATTCATTTATTCCTTTATTTTGGATGAACAGTTAACTTATATTCAGTTTTTACCTTTCATGAATAAAATTGTCATGAATTTTCTTGTATTTATTAGCTGTTGCTCATGTACACAAACTACTTGTACATAAATACTCAGGAGTAGAATTGCTGGATCACAGGGCACATATGTCTTTGGTCTTTAAGATAATTTCAAACACATTTTCAAACCTTATATACAATTTGCATGCTTATTAGTAGTAATTGAGAATTCTCAATATTTTTACAAAAATTCACCACTATCACACTTCTTACACTTTTGCTGACCTGGTTACTGTATAAAACCAGTAACTAAATCAGTTACTATATATTCATTTGCAATGTGTATGTATCTAATATGTGTTGAGTATGATCATGCTCTGTAGGTTGTTATATTTTAGGAAGAGATTTCCAGGCATTTCTTCCAAGATATCCCAAGATGGACTCAAAATATCAATTTTTAATTAACATCACAGTACTTAATTGCAATAGTTTTCATCAACATAAAGTTACGCAAACTTTCATATATGTCCTTGTCATTTATAGTTATTATTTTGTGAAGTCATTTTTCTAATGAATTATCTATCATTGGTTCTTGTTGATTTTCAGAGATGGTCTATCCATGATGACTCTGATGCCATTTTTTTTTCCTGACTTCACTTCCTCTTAGTACTACTAGAGACTGAAACTCAGTCCACTTCACTAAACTCACAGGACCACTATGCTTTTCTCTTTTCCTCTACATCACTCCCTTGCTCCCTTTCTCCCTATTTATCCTGGCTCCATTTATTTTCTCTGTCTCTTTCCTTCCATTTTCACTTCTTCTGTTTGTTTCTCAATCTATCACTTGCCTTCTAAGCAAACATTTTGTCTTTATTCTTATTTTAGGGGAGTCATGATATCACATCACTAAGGAAAGGAGGAGCCTTTTCATTGTCTAATCCCCAAAATTTATAAGAATATTTTTTGGTAGATTATATTTCATCATTTCAAGAGACAGATTTCAACAATATCCTTGCATTTTCTATACAAAATAGCATCAAGTAATAATTAAGTCATTTTCTAGCACTTAGCTAAGGAAGGCCCTAACCTCAAGATATTATTAAATACCTGAATTATGACTCCCTTTCCCCCAGTGAGTCCATAACTAGGACCAAGACACTACTTCTGTTTTCTTAGTAATGACTTGCTTTGCTTTTATTTTATATTTCTGAAGACAAATAATGATAATCTTTAATTACATATTAACATTTCTCATTGAGGTACTGATTTGGACTTGTTGTTAGAGACCTTATACACAGCAGAGCGAAACAATATCCTATCCTGGACCAACCTCACTAATGTTGCCACACTTGAGTCCATCGATGCTGCCACCTGGCCAATCCATCTCATTGGGGGTCTTCCTTTTTTTCTCTGACCCTCCACCTTACCAAACATCATATCCTTCTCCAGCGACTGTTCACTCCTGACAATATGTCCAAAGCATGAGAGATGAAGTTTGGGAATCTTGGCCTCTAAGGATAACTCTGGCTGCACTTCTTCCAAAACAGATCTATTGGTTCTTTTGGCAGCCCGTGGCACTT